TTCAATACACTTTGTTTCTAGATAGTTGGATTTATCTACGGGTACGTGGCTGAACAGTTCGGGTGGACTGTCTATATAGTTATGGCTGGATTTGCTTTTTCGTGTTTGGTAAGAAATCTTTGGGTGTTTGAATGTCAGTGGCAACTTGGGTTGTCTGAATTGGGTTGTTTTGGTTGGACCTGTTAGTGAAAACCGGCACCAACTTCTCCCTCATCCTTAATGTCTCCCCTTGCTATCACTGGAAAAGTAGAATGCCAAATAGTGTCAGATGAGGTAAGCTGCATAAAAGGATACAGCTCATTTATTTTGGCAGCTGCTCCAAGTAATAATCTTAAGGTCAAAGCTAGCAGGAATTTTTTATGGTCTTCACATTGCTCCCTCCTCACCTTTCTTTTAGCTCTTAAAGCCCTATGTGTAAACAATGAGGCTTGTTCCCCTCACTTAAAGTATCTTGTCTAGGCAGTGGCATGGTTTTCATACGAAAGTCAGTTTTGTTGTTTTTACCTTTGGTATAAGAGCCATTTAGGAACCAGGTATTATACATAATGCTCTTTAATGGCTACAGCTGATTCATTTTCTCTGTTCTGGCCCAGCTGACACTTCCTCCATGGCCCATTTATCGTCGGCACCCCCTCAAGTGGTTACCTGTTCAAGACTCAGGCGCAGAAGACAAGAAACCAGGGGAAAGAAAAATTAAGAGGCATGCTAAAAATAACTGATTGGGGGTTTTCATGATTCAGCTTTACTACTGAACCTGCTTTTGTATCTTGTGAGCGAGCTAAATTTTGGCACCCAGAACACGAGCTAAAAACCACCTATACTTTTATGGTACAGCTGTTTATAGATTTTGTTCTCTTTATTATTTCACTTCTCAGTTGGGCTTTGACTTACACATATTTTAGACCTGTTCATAATCTTTCTCTGAAATGGAGAACAGAAAATAGAAGTATGCAAACTTTCTTTCAGGTCTACAAAAATAATGAATATATGCCTCTTAAATGGAAGAACTTAATCATCAAAGCTTTATAATTCATTGTTAAGCCATTTTAATATTTTCAATTAAAATTCACAGTGCAAGTCTGTCTAAAGAGTCTTTTGTTCATTGTTCTGCAATCAGGACTACTAGTAAAAGTTAAAGTTAGTAGTTCATGGTTCTGAAAGGGTCAGTAAGTCCCATTTCTAATTCTTTCTTAACAACAAGAAGCACCTAATGAAAAAATTTACTAATGTAAATTTGTGGTGAAGTTGTTTTTTAGTACCACTAAATTAAGGCTGTTGTTAAGCAGAAAACATTTAATTATGCTTTACCTGAGGTGGACCAGAGTGAAAATGTATGAAACTATAAATTCCTTTTAAATTTTCCAAAGGGCTAAAGAGAGAATATTCTAAAGGTCTTATGTGAGGGATAGGAGTGTGGGGGGGTTATTATAGATAATATTCTAGGACTTCCAAACTATGAGTTTTTGGGATTTTTTCACCCGAGGATATTTTTTCCATTGCTTTTCAGAGAGAGTGGAAGGGGGCGTGGGCGGAGAGAGAGAAAGATAGAAACGATTGGTTGCCTCCTGCTCTCCTGCGAACTGGGGCCAGGGATTGAGCCTGCAACCAAGGTACGTGCCCTTGGCCAAAAGCGAACCTGGGACCCTTCTGTCCCTGGGCTAATGCTCTAAACACTGAGCCAAACCAGCTAGGGCCCAAACTATGAGTTTTAAAAAAAGGAGCAAAGACCTTCATACAGCAAAAGTCTAAGTTTTAAAATTAAGAAGGCAGAAATATATAGACCAAATATATCAATAAGTATAGAAAATGTGATTTAAAAGTTAGGAGCTCCCAAGTGGGATTGAAAATCAAGTTACCTTATATTCTCAAAATGACACCTGGTTGAAAACAGGACAAAGATATACTAGGCAGATGCAAGCAGAAAGGAGGGGTAATAGTGAAAAAATCATTTAATATCAGAAAGCATTAAATGGGGCAAAGAGGGACATTTCATAGCTGCCAAGATGTCACTGTTGTGAATCATGCCCTGAATAAGACATGAAATGCATAAAGCAAAGAACATAACTGATAAAAGTGTTTGGCAAGACTACACTATTGGTAGGAGACCAACACTCTACTTTTCAGATTTTGATAGAACAAGTTGTCAGGTGATTAATAGGAAGATTTTTGCACTTGTTCCCTGTACTTGGAACACTCCCTCAGATATACATGACTTGTTCTCTCATTCAGGTCTCTACCCAAATGTCACTACAATGAAGAATTTCCTGCTATCCTATAAAAATTAAGTGGTATGCCCCATCATTCTGTATCCATTTAGCCTGCTTTATTTTTCATGGCGTTTAATATATCTCGCAGTATATATTTATTTAATTGTCCTCCATAGGTGAAGCTCCATGGGAACAGGGACCTTGTTTTGCTCACTGCTGTTTGCCCAGTACATATAAGAGTATGTGACATATTATAGGTGTTCAACAAATATCTACTGAATGAATGATACAGAGGTGCAGTCCAATATGGGGGCATTAGTCACATGTGTCTGTTTACATTTAAAACAAAAACTGAGTTCCTCAAACTAGTCACATTTCAAGGGCTCAGCAGCTATATAAAACTAGTGGTTGCCATTTAAGACAGTACAGATATAGAACATTTCCATCATCACAAAATGCTATTGGTTAGACCTTATACAAACTTGTATAATATTTAATAGTGCTTCTATGCATAACAGAATTCACCTTCATTGAATGGGCCCACATTATTGGCCTTCCAATAACGGATCATGTACTGAGCCACAAGGAAAAACAATTCTAAGGAAAAGGTTGTGCAGCTAATATTCAGTAACAACACTGCAGTGTAGCTGGAGTAAGGAAATAGACTTTCCTTGGCTCTCTAAACATACGGAAATTAAGATACTTATAAAAAATAAAAATAAAAATCAAGCCCTGGCTGGGTGGCTCGGTTGAAGCATTGTCCTGGACACCAAAAGGTTGCGGGTTCAATTCCTAGTCAGAGCACATACGTAGGTTGTGGATTCGATCCCCAGTAAGGGTGCATATGGGGGGAGGCAACTGACCTATGTTTCTCTGTTCCCCCCTTCCTCTCTCAAATCAATAAAAACATCCTCAGGTGAGGATTTTAAAAAAACCTGAAACCAGAATTATTTAGAAACTAACGTGAAAAAGACTCTCATATCAGCCCAGCTGGAGTTCCTCAGCTGGTTGGGTGGTGTCCTGTGCACCACCAAAGAGTTGCCGGTTTGATTCTCAATGAGGGCACATACCTGGGTTTTGGGTTTGATCCCCGATTGCGGCACGTACAGAAGACAACCAGTTGATGTTCCTCTCTCCCTTTTGCTCCCTCTAAGTATGTCCTTGGGTGAGGATAGGAAAAAAAAAAAGTCAAAGTCTGAAATGTGGCCAAAGGTATATTGAGATGAAAATTCAGTGTCTTAAAAATGTGTTTTATAATTTAAAAAGATGAAAAATGATTAAGCATTCAAGAAAAAAGAACCACAAAATAGCCAAAAAGTAGGATGAAAACTGAATGTTTAAACAAAAATATACAACAGAATGGGAATAATAAAGTATGTGGGAAATTTCTTAATTCTAAGAAAATTATATGTACAACTTTATACCAATAAGTTAGAAAACTCAATGACTTTCCAGAAATATGTAGATTTCTGAAACGTGCAAGAAATAATGAATAGCTCAGGAAAACCAAGAGTTTGTCAAAGATTTGCCCCCACTGGGACAAATATGGTTTTATAGTTGACTTCTAACAAACCCTTCAAAGTAAAAATAAGAGGTCTCAGAAAACAGGCTATGAGCACTGTAAGGGCAGGGAGTATTGTTTTACTCATCACTATATTCCCAGCTCCAGGAATAGCACCTAGCAAAACAGTAAATAAAGGTCTGTTAAGTGACTGGAAAGGGAACATTATCATTAGAGTATTTTATGTGTGTGTATATTTTCAAAGACACATTTTTAATTATAAAAACAACATTTCTAGAGCAGAATTCATTTTTAAAGTCCCTGGAATACAGAATTGAAAATTTACTAATCCAGACTTATTTTATAAAAACTATTTCTTAGGTGGGCAATACCCCTTATAAACAACTAATATGTGATATATAAGCATACATTTGAAACATGGACCCTGGCTGGTTTGGCTCAGTAGTTAGAGCATTGGCCTGCTGACCAAAGGGTCTCAAGTTCAGTTCCTGGTCAAGGGCATACCTTGGTTGCAGGTTCGATCCCAGGCCCTAGCCAGGAGCATGTGGGAAGCAACACAATCAATGTGTTTCTGGCACACTGATGTCTCTCTCCCTCTCTCCCCCTCTTCCCTCCCTTCCACTCTCTCTGAAAATCAGTGGAAAAAACTATCCTCGGGTGAGGAATAAAAAAAAAAAAAATTCACTCTGAAACATGGGAAGACAACCAATATTTTCATGTACAAGAAGCCAAACTTCAGGAGACAAATATGTCCAACATAACTAAAAGGAGCTGGACTCTACTTACAAATTGCTTAACTGGAAAAGGAATAAGTGTTTAAGAAATGGTTTCCCTGATGTAAAAATAAATCTAAAAAAAACAGCATGTAAAAACATTCATTTACAAAGCCAAAATAAGAGTTTCAATTCTTATATACCCTCGATGAGCTGCATATTAAATGAAAAAAAAAAAGTTAAACGTCCATCAGTATGTAAACAGGGAATTTAGTTGCTCAAGTACTAGATACAACTTCATATTTTTTAAATCTACTCCCAGAATCCTGAATTTACTTTTTACAAAATAATTTATCAACTACTACCTAAGGTTATTAAGAATGACAAGTAGTATCACTGGACATATGTCATTTATTTCTCCTATTGCTTTTATCACTACAGTATAATATAAAACTTCCAATGCAATATTATATGATCCTGTATTCAAGCTACTTAGACCTTAAAAAAAATAAAGTTCTAGATATAAAGTTGGTGGCTTAAGGCTCAGTAAACAGTAACCAAACAGTCTTATAACAGATTTTTCCTCAAAGAGTAAGATAGCCAAAGGTTCTTTCTTTTATGAGCTTGCTTCATATTACATTGTTCTGTCCCGTTTTTCTTCCAGTAAAAAAAATACCCAAAGAGATATAAAGATGTTGAATAGTCTCCAGCCATCATTAGAAGTTTGTTTCTTTTAAGCCAAACCTTTGAATATAGGTCTTTAATTCTGGCAGCAGATTAGAATAAGTTCTCAAAAATTCACATTTTCTTCAAAAAATTTCAATTGGCGAGCTTTCACACTATAAGGCAGATACTTTTCACCCATGTGCTCCCGCAAACGTACCTATTTGGGAAACATAAAAAGAAAATCAGTATAGTAGAAAAAATATTTCTGTAATCTTAGAACAGCTTTTCTAAGCATGATACCAAAGGTGGAAATCATGGGCAAATACTAATATTATATTTACTTAAAAATTTGAACTTCAAGATTTCAAAAAATAGTCACAAAAAAATTAAGAGCAAACAATAAACTAGGAAAAATATTTTCAACATACATGCAAAATATATAATATTAATATATTTAGGCTGGTGTTGCTCAGTGGTTAGAGTGTCGGCTTGTGCACCGAAGGGCCTCAGGTTCAATTCCCAGTCAAGGGCAATACCTGCGTTGCAGGTTCGATGCCTGGCCCCAATAGGGGCATGTGCGGGGGCAACCAATCGATGTGTCTCTCTCACATCAATGTTTCCCTCCCTCCCTCCTTCCCTTCCGCTCTCTCTGAAAATCAACTGAAAATATATCCTCAGGTGAGGATTAACAACAAAAATATATACACACAGTTTGAATAATTATAAAGGCAGTGTTTATTAAAACATTTCATTTTCAAAATTGAACTATCAGCTGTGTGTATACATTTTTGGAGGGATACCGTGTGTGTGTGTGTGTGTGTGTGTGTGTGTATTAGTATATAAAGAGCTCTTAGAATTAATAAAACAAAATACTAGAATATCAGAATTGATGAAACAATAAAATCAGTCCCACAGGTAATTCAGCAAATGCATTTACAAAATAATACAAATAACCAATTAAGATATAGAAAATT